CACTTACACCCACCACTGCTTTTGCACCATTAGGGCAAAAACCAGCTTAGTGAAAAAGGCAAATAACATCTTTGTATTATTAGGACTATTGTTTTAAACCCTGGGACCTCTTGAAAAGGTCTTGGGGACCCCCAGGGTTCCATGGACCACACTTAGAGAGAACTGTTGTTATAAATAAATCAAAAGGGTATTCCTGGGGTTTGTGAGGTGGGGAAGGGATTAAAGGGTCAAAAAACACTGAGAATGAGGAGAGGGCTTGCATGTAGCTATTACCTATATCACATATTTTTTCTCCTGCAGTCCAACCTGGAATCCCAGCTGCTTCATCTGGGACCCTAATCTTGTCTGAAGCACCAGAAGTCCTCTCCTTTTAGGTTGGGCCTTGCTCTCTGATGCCCTACTTGCTAGCTGGCACCTCATTCACTGGAATTTTATAAGGACTTGATGGAAATTATGAGTTCGCCATGAGAAGTCTACTCTGTAGCTTTGTCTAATGGCTGCACTCCAGCCACCCCAAAGGACCTGTGACACTGATGCTGGGCTGAGCCAGGCAGGCATGAGTATGCTATGCCACTAGAGCACAGAGGCCCCTTGAAGAGGCTGGGTACTACTATTAGTTCCTGCAGGAACAGACACTATACAGGCTTAGAACAACAGACTCAAGCTCCATCCAGGTTGAGGGGTTACTGGAGAACAACCAAGTCGTTTTTCATCCGTTATTGGCTCTTGGTGAGCAGGCTGGCAGGTAGTCAAAGGAGCCTTTACAATTGGAAATTGGAAGAAGGAATCTAAGAAGTAGCTCCTCTCTCTATAATCTTGCCCAGCTATGCTGCCTTGTGTGACCATCTCCATGACTGTTCATATCATTCACCATGAAAATAAGATTTCAGACTTGAGTTGTCAGCTTGGTCATTCACATTACTGTTGTGGGGGTCGCCAGTCTAGTATTAAAAACCTCATCTCATTTCTCCTCTCCCTAGGTTGGTACCAACTGAATTCTGAGTTTGAGGACTGTCATGGTGGCAAAAGCCCAGATTGGCTCGAAAGGGCAAGTCACTCAACTCATTATGAGGCAGGAGACTGGCCCATATTCATGAAGCCACATCCCTTCTGCTCCTGGGAGCATGTTCTGAGGCTTCAGTTAGGGGACTGGGGAGCACAGGACCCTCTAAGAAGGATACAGTGGAAGGAGTAGCTAGTGAGGTCACCGATTAGTATCCACTTAGGTATTTGCCTCAGAGCTCTAAAGTAGAAGCCCTGGATGAGAAGAGCACTTCCATACTAGCTTAGAAATCACTGTCTCTGGGTCAACTTTAGTAGCATTCTTTACTCCCTGCTTATACTTCTTGTCCCTCTGTAAAGTAGTTAGTTGTTTATCTTTTACTTCTCCAGTAAATCTGGAGCTCCAAGAAGGCAGAATCTACGTGAATCTCATTCACTACTGTACCTTGTACCCTAGCCTCAGAAGTATTTGTTGAATGACTGAATGAAGCTCAGGAACATCCTCTCAAGAGTCTGGGTAGCTGCTGGAACCCCAACACTTTTGCTCCTGGAGCTGCCTCTGGACAGGCTGGCTTCTATGCAGTGGCTGTTGGTGTGGTCAGGAGTGCCCTGGCAGTGAGTCCCAGGTTGCCCAAGGTTTCTGTAGCCTGAGGTGCCAAGATGAATAATCTTGCAAACATTCAGATCACTTTATGGAGGGCCAAAGTCCAGCATTTTAGCACCAGAAACTCCCTATGATCATCATTGATAAGATTCCAGCAGACACAAAGAGTTGCATTTTTTCAGTTTCTGTATAAAGGTGCTAACATTTCCTCCTTGCCTTAATTCAGTGACTTAATACAGGTTAGCAACTAACATTGATCTCTTTAGGAAATCTGTGTCCAAGTTCTAATGGTAGGAAAAGCAATGGTGATTTCATCTGACTTATCACATAACCAGGCCAGTTAATGGAAAACAAATCCAAGTATCATATCGCAGCAAGAGATAAGCACACAAGTCTTTAAGCCATTCAATGGTAACAATGGGGAAAATAATAATTCCACGTGATAAGTGGATTAGGAAAAAAAAAAGGCATTTGGCATGTTGTTTAATTGTATTTTGTAGTTTCTTTTCAAAATTCATGAACTATTAACCATATTTGTTTTGTTAAAAACTTTCATACAGTACAGATGCTTATAAAAATTTAAAAGTCTGTGAGTAAAGTGAAAATTGCTTTTCATCTTTTCCCCTATTAAGAAGCACCATTTCTGGACCAGGTGAGAAAATAACAAAAATAATGAACAACCATATGCCAGAGACATTTTGTGGTGGTGGAGTGGGGAATGGGATCAAAAACGGGGGGTTGGGGAGGTGGGGAGGGAAATGCACGGGATTATGGTGATGGCACATGGGTGACTTGGTGATGGGAAACCCACGGGGATTACAATTGAGATGGAAAAAAATATATACAAAATGATGTAAAAATAAACTTTTGTAAAATAAAAAAAAAAGAAGCACCATTTCTACTACCTCCTTTGAAAGTCAGTGCTTTCTCAACGCCTCTGAAGTGTCTCTCCTCTGTCTCTACATTTCCTTTTTACTTTCTTTACCAAATGTGTTTCCTCTCCACTATCCACTATCTCTTATATCCCCTACTCCCTTTCTCCACCCTTCTCCTCTTCTTTTTTAACGATTTATTTATTTATGCACACAGAACTGGGGTTCAGGCCAAAGGTGCAGGGGTGGTGAGAGGATTCACCAGAGACAGAGTGTCTCCCCCTCCTTCTTAACCTCACTGCCCTGAGGCTGTTTACCAAGGTCTCCCAGTTTTTGTCAGTGTTTTACTTTGTGGAATCATTCATGATGTAAATGCCCAAGATTTGTCCTCAATCTCTGCATTTGACTGCCTAAGGAGGTGTTGACTAGGAGGAATTACACTGACAATCACTTTTCCCTATTGTTACTATGCATCCTTCCACCAAAGTGTGTGGAACTGAAAATTCTCCATATCAGAACATAAGAAACAAAGGTTCACTTTGTCAGCAGGGGGCAAAGTCCAGTTAACAATACAAAGCAACATTTCCCCCAGGTAGTCACCAAAGAGAGCACAAGCAATTCTCAACACACAAATATACACTATATGGAGGAGAATGGTGATGAACTACCAGAATTTTGATACTTTTAAGCTCGTTCTTTGATAAAAGTATATTTGCACTCCTCTCCACAATGAGGAGCCCCCCCAAATCCTAGCCCCTGAAGGATGTGCCATTTCAGCTGAAAACCATTGAAGGTCAAGTGTTTTCAGGACATCTCCCTGGATCCAAATGACTGCTACCCTACTAACGAGAGGCTTAATCTGTAGAAGTGTAGAGACAGTGACTGAGCCAGGGAGGATTTATCTTGGTGTAGGTGACCACAGCTTTCTCTTTGCCAAGGTACCCAATGAAGTGAAGGAAAGAGGCCCAATGATGGGAAAAGACGGTAAGGCCGGTACCTTGTTTCTCAGGGCTGGGTCTGCCCCCGCCTCCAGAAGCAGGGCCACTGTTTTAATGTTCCCGCTGAGCACGGCCGCGTGGAGCGCTGACGTCCCATTCTAAGAGAGAAGACAGAGCGTTAGGAGGGAGCTCACAGCCGAGCGAGCGTGCTCAGTTCAGCTTGGCTTTCATGGGGATACACCCAGAGTGATGAGACCACAATGTTGAAGTCCTGCCCTTTTATGATGCCCTCATTTTTAAAGGATAAAACACTTAATGGCAACCGGATATGCAAATGCTTACATTTAAAAATGCAGGTTCCATAAAAGTAGCCAGCATCTTGCTTAGCATGTTTCTTTTTTAATGTTATGTTATTAAATGATATAAATAAAAATTTTGACAAATACAGCTTTGGTTATAGACATTGGGAGATGAAGAGACAACTGGTTAAAAATAATAAAGAGGTATTGAGAAGTCCATTCATTAAAATGGGTAAGGGCAAAGAAATTAACACAAAATTTTAGAAGAAAGTATATCCTTGTATGGTGAACCTTTCTACTTTACAAAAGAGTCACAGAGTAAAGATCACTTTCAACTGAACTAACTAATTTGATTTAACTAAACAATGAGGGTCATTTCTTTTTGGTGCCTGAAGATTTAGTTAAAAGAATGCTGCGGGCCCTCCCTGGTGGCGCAGCGAGTTAAAGCACAGCGCTGAGAATCTAAAGCCGCTTCAGCATGAGTTCGATTCCCGCCTGCCCCGGAGGTGACCACATGGCGTGGCAGACCTCTCCTGACCCTCCCACTGCTCCCCTCAGCAGTGTACTTCGTAGATCTGCCTGTTCTGCTCCCCACTCTGTCTCTGGTGAAGCCTCTCACCGCCCCTGAGCCTCTGGCCTGAAACCCAGTTCTGTATGCACAAATAAATAAATCATAAAAAAAAAAAAAGAATGCTGCAATATTTTCTGTGTTTGACTGTTAATCTACAGGTATCATTATTTAATATAATGATTTATAATTTATAATAATTAAGGCAAATGAACAATTACAACACTTTGTGAGTCTTAGGTAAGGAATCATGATAAACAGAAAATATAAGAATATGCAAGAATACACAATACGCAAAATTTCAAGACTATCAAGTATATATCTTCTTTTCAAAGTCTCAGTACCTAATACAGTTGCCCCAGGCATACAGCACACTGTCTAAATATTGCCAATGTTCTTTTCCAAGTGAAATAAGAGATCTAACCCAGAGTATATGACCTACCAATGATCACAAAAACAGTTTTATATACTTTCTAACTTGCTGCAGAAAAAACAACAGTACTGTGTCAGTCTTTCTTCTTCAAGGTCAACATACACAGTCTGTGCTTTTGGTGAGCCATTTCCAGATGGCTGGAGGAAAGGCTGGTTAGCTACACGTGCTCCATCTTCTCAGGCTGAGGGAGACTAACTGTGGAGCTGACCTTGGAGTTGCAGGTGGAAAAAGTTTAAGGAGATGGGATGAGGAAATCCTCTTGATCCCTGGGTTAGCTCATTTCTGAGGGTAAAGGGGCCCAGCCAATAGGATGCTGACATTTCATGAAATTTACCGCAAATATTTACTGAAATAAGGAAGCC